GAGTTGTTTCGATGAAGTTTGTCGGATCGAACGTCAATCGATCTCGAATACTGACATTGTTCTGCGATCCTCTTCACAAATCAGGAAATGAAAACGAATATCCCTACTCCCCAATCCATCATTCACGACGTTCTACGCAGAGTCACTTTCAAAGCAGGCTCTTTGTAAGTTTAGCGCACTCCTTGACTGAGCAGGAGCGTCCAGTGCGAGCCAGTGTGTGTCAGAAACTCCTCGACTGTGAGCGACGACGACATCAAGAGTGTTTTGTTACCGACTGAAAGAGATGGTATTTCGAGCCCTCATTTCACACCGATTACAAGAAAATTTTCGCAGTAATCGATAATGCTCGACCACCCTACGCGAGGACGCCGATGGATGAGCTGGTAACACACGGTATGATTTGACCACCCCGCTCCCTATATATTCACCTGACCTCGACCCATATGACTTCCAGAAGCCCCTAGTAATGCTCTACAGGGGAAATTTCACCAATTGACGAGAAGTCAAGTAGGTGGTAGATGAATGAATTGCGTCACGTCAGAGAGGTCTTTATATTGGTGGAATGGCATCAATGCCCTGACCGGTTGATGGAGAGACATTGTGGCTAAGAAGGGTCGCTATGTTGACATTGAGCAAAGTTTACTACTATAGTTATTTTGTGTTGGAAACCGACTGAATTTTCTCAAATCCAGACACCCTAATACTTTCGAACTCTCCACCGGAGAAGGATAATGAATTACCGCTCGATAAGCTATTATATTTCGCGCAAACCCTGCCCACTGTGGGCGAGAGCCAGCCTCGCTACAAACCATAGGCGTTCCAAACTTGCCGCCTGTACAACTAACAGAGTTGAACGCTCACGGTTCATATTGACAGTATTCATGCGAATTCCGTCCCCTTTGGTCATGTGCAATCCTGCCACCCCCCGCGTTTCCATCGTACCTCTTATACCTACCAATTTTGAACTCTCCACGACGCGGGAACAGGAGCTATGGAATCCCGCTCAGGTGTTTATGTCGCGCAAACCCCGCCCCTGTGGGCGGAGTCCGGCTCTGCTGCCAACCACAAGTGGTCCCATCCTGTTCCATACACGCATACACACCATACACATATGCACACACACATACATATCTGCACACACATACATATATACTACATACATACGCACATACACACGTACTCACGTACACACACATATCCATCCATACGTACATATTTATATACATACACACGCATACAAACATACACACACCTACACACATACACACATCACACTCACTTAACCGATTAGATGTAGCAGAATATTTCCTCCACGCCACCATCTACTCGAGTGATGGAAAGAGGATGAGTGATTATTGTATGTATGAGTGCAAACATACACAAAAATCCGAACTAATAATAATAGTTCCGAGCTTCTTCATCGAACGAAGATCAGGCATGTCGTTGATTACGCCAAGAGAACGAAAAACAGGTGGGCCGGGCACGTTATTCGAAATAGGGAAACCGTTGGACCGAGGCGGTTACTGACTGGATCGCTCGGGACGTCAAGTGAACACCAAGACGGCTGCCAATGCGATGGTCAGACTTATTCACAAAAGCTCTGAACGAAAAGAATACTGAGCCTCGTGTCTCTGAGGCAAGGACAATTCACTGGACCGCTCTGCTCGTGACAAGGATGAATGGAAACGTTACTGGCGCCCGCTCGAGAAATTCGATGATCAGCGGGACGCAGGAGATGCATGTGATGAGTGCAAACAAAGGAGGTGAAATGATAAGATAGTCTGGGGCGAATGAAAAGAAACAATACGAAAGAAAAGTTGGGAAGCTACCCGCCTTACCTGCAGAGCAGTTTTCCATCCTTGAACAAGGCGCAGAAGTTGTCAACGTTTCCATCAGTACTAAAATCTTCGCCGGTCACAGACTGAAAGTGCAGGATTGCGCTTGTGACTAATAAGAAGTGTGTGAAAAATATATGGCCAACTGAAATCTTTTGGAGAAGTTATGACTAGAAAGTTTTTTTATAGGGCGACCCACATGAAGGGTGACGGAAATAAAAAAATCTACTTATGGAGTTCTGAGCGTAAGGATGCGGTGATCCCTTGAGCCGAGTTGAACGCGAAAACGTCAGCTGATATTTTCAGCAGGACTGGACACCAAGTCACAGTGGAAAGAAGACAGTGTAATGATGTGAGATCACGCTCTCGAGTTTTTGGACAAAGTAGGTTTGGCCTTCAAACTCCCCAATCTCAATGTTTTGTATTTTGTTGTATGGTCGATTCTGGAGCAAAGAGTCTGCGCTTTCAAACACAAGTCTTTGGACTGTTTGAAAAAAAATCTTGTGAAAGCGCGTTATGAAAAATTCGCCGGGAGTGATTGCGTGCATTCTTGAAAACTTCCGAAATAGGTTTGATGCTTGCATTAAGGCGAAAGGTGGTCATTCTGAGTGCGAGATGTTGTTATGTTGTTTACAATTTAAGTGATGACTGTATGGGAGTAAATGTTCCCTATTTGATTTGATCTTTACAATTTTAAAGCTAGTTTTCTCTGTCACACTTCATGTGGGTCACCCTGTATTATTTATTTCGAAACTTAGGATTTTATTTATTTCAAGATTTTATTTTAACAAATGGTTAGATTTATTTAGTTCCATACACAAACACTTCCCCAACTGGTTGCACTCACACAACGCGTTGGATAATGGAGGAAAGTTGAAAGGCATCGACTGGCGTGTTAAATGATGTATTCAATAAACTGCGAATCATGAGTTCTGACCAGGGAAGGATCCCAAGTCGAAGTGGCCATTTGAAGTGAGACCCACACTGCTAGACGTGTTTTTGGATGGTGAGTTCAAATCTGCTTTCCAAATTTGCCGAGCGTTTCTCTGAACGGAGTTATGAGGGTGGTTCCAAAGAGTTTAACATTAAAAAAAAAACTTAAATTACATGGATGTTCCACAGCTCGCAACGGCGGCT